AACTTCTCCTTACCGCTGCTCCTCTCCACTTTGAAATCTGAGGATCTCTCCAGATTTTCCAAAAGACTGGTTCCAAATAAATATGTTTTTAAAAAGTCTCTCTTTGTGTTGAAGAGTCTGCTTTTCTGGATACATGTGAGTGAGTCTAATAAAGACAGAGGAGAAGAGAGTTGGAGAGGACTGTTGAAGTCTGAGTCCGCCCCCACGAGGCTCAGAGGGCGTGTGAGTGCGAGGACATCGCTGTCTCTGGGGGTATGGCTGCTACTTGAAGATGTAGTTGATCAGGACCTGAAGGAAGATGAGAAAAATGATGATGATGTAGTCACGCTGCTGGAGGAAGGAGCTGCCCTCCACCCGGCTCGCTGCACGACTCCGCAGCACGGTGATGGTCCTGCAAACACACAGATGCTACGTGTGAGTGCTGAAAGGTCCAGCGTGTTACCGCAGTCGCCTCGCAGTGTGACTTATACTTCCCACCTGTTAATGTCCTCCTGCGTCTGCTTTATGGATTCAATGGCACTTTGAAGTTCGCTGAGGTCTGCTCCTTTTTTCCTCAGCCGATTGTTATGCTTGCTTTTGTGTCCTGTGATAAAGTAGAGCAAAACAAGTTTAACACCGTAAACGCACGGGCATTTAATAATGCAGATGCATGTGTTAAAGTCAGACTGCTTCTAAGCGTTTGTACACATGAGTCATATGATTTGTGTGTCACAAAGTCTCATTTCTCATCAGTAGCAACATCTACATATGCAGGGCTGTTGTCATCAAGACCCTTTATTACCTGTATCACAAACTCCTCATCTAACAAGAGCAACAACAGACATTTAGATGAATAAATTCACAGCTGTAGGTATAGATTTTGTCAATAAACATTGTTGACTGACTATATTGACTGTTCAGCCTGCGTATGTGCGTATGTAGATGTGAGTTTTAGTGTGTGGCTCACGTTCGCTGCCGGATGAGTCCTGGTGGTCGGGTTCAGGTGAGGAGCAGCCGCTCTCTGGGCTCTTGGGCTTGTCACTCTTGTGTTTCCTCTTTGGCACCGTTACCTGTCGGCACATGTGTGGATAAATACACAAGCGTGTCAGAAAAGAAGACAAATTTCAGCATCTTGGACTGACAAATCCAAAACACACACACAGACAAACATGCTATTTAGTGTCGATGCAAACGGCGGATGTGCGAGGCATGCTGTTAGGCTGATTTCAACTGGTCAACAAAAAACACATACTCAGCATCCCAAATGAACAAACCTGCCTCGAGCTTGTTTATTCAAATCATTTCTTCCACAGATGTTTAACTCTGTCAGGTAAAGATCTGGGCCGTAGAAAAGCAAGTCAAAGTTTGCCTAACAGAAGCGTGACGGACTCCAACCTGGGCACAGCGTCAGCCCTGTTGGACAACATTTGGCAACAGCTAAGCAAAAGCCTGAAAGCGCTGATGGTGACCGATT